CTGGAGGTCAGTCCCAAAGAAGGAACACTACCTTGCACTCCCCCGGTCCCCAGTCCCCAAGTGTTTCCCGAAAATGTCCCGAAACTTGTCTCACTTCTTTGATCTTCTGTTACAAAGAAAAATGAAAAACGATGGTAGGATGTAATTAGCATGCTTGTCATTTTGTCTAACTGTCATCACTATGTATATGTATCAGAGGGTGGAATAAAGTAGTCAATTAGTTTGCAATTTTTTAATATGAAATGACAAACATAACTAAAATTGCTCAGGTTAGGGATAATAAATTATGTAGAGTATGGTTCAACAACACCCTATGGTTTTTCAAACAACCAAATATGGCAGCGTCGGACCGGAGAGCGGGTGGGGGGACTGGGCGACGTCTAATGGTGCCGGAGTTCTTGGCAGCGTTGAGATGTTCTGCATCACAAATCCCCAATTCACTGCTAGTGATTTGTGATTTGGGGCGGCAGTTTTGGAGGGTGAAATAATAACGGACACACCAATCAAGGGAGATCACAATGATTTAGCAATCCATTGTGATCTTGTCTAAAATAGAGCAATATTTTTCCGCTGTAATCATGCATTTAATAGAGCAATATATTTTTTTTCCTTTCATAATTAGCTTTAATCATGCACTTATCCTATCATGCGTTTTTTTTTTTTTTTTGGATTTCAAACATGGGTATTTGAATTTCCATCTCTGAGTGGCGTTTCTTTCGGAGGTCAACTCATAAAATCCAGAAATGGCGTTGTGAAAACTATTTTCGTCTTCTTATTTCAGCTGAAGAAAAAATCAGAAGAGTAGAAAAATAACCGGGAAAGAGCTCATGATCTTTCTTCTCCCCCAAGTTATTTAGAAGTCAGCATCTTTTCTACCTAAATCTCTCTCCCCTTAACACCAGGTAATCTCTTGTTCACCTTTATCTTCTAATGGCAAATTCCGGTTGCGTTTTTTTTTTTTTTTTTTTTTTTCATTTGGGTATATTTCCTCTAGGTGCTTTGAACCCATAATTTTAATAGTGTTTTTTATCTCATAAAAAATTTAAATTCAAAAATTTCTCTCATAAAGTTTTCATTGATGAATCAGAATTACTGAGCGTGAACCAAACGGATCTAAGATAGCATGGCCAATACTGAGAACCCCATCAACACTGAACATGTGGCATTGTTGTCCCAAAATGACATTGACGATTCGAGGCTGAAATTCAGTATCCCCGCAGGGGTGAGGCTGCGAATACCCTCGGCAGTGGATCTGCCGTCTCAACCCAATCGAGGGGAGATTTGTTTGCACATGCTGGCCTTTGAATGCGGCCTACGATTACCCTTTCATCCCTTCTTCAGGACGGTGCTCGCTCATTTCGGCCTGGCCCCAACACAATTGAGTCTCAATGTGTGGATGCACATGGCTGGCGCCGTCATCTTGTGGCGCATCTGCAGCGAGGAAAAGGACCACATCACATTGGACGAATTCAATTTCTGTTATAAGTTCCATTACAGAGGAAAAACTGAACGCTGGCACCTGCGTCCAACGGACAATCGCCTTTTGGTGTTGGATTGCCCAAAATTCGTCCCTAAGCACTGGCAGAAAGGGGTTCTCTTCGCGTGATCTTCATTCTCTCTTTTTCATATAGCCTGTTGTTGTTGATCCATGCACATCTTTTTTTTTTTTTTTTTCCCTTGACTATCATCTTTGGCTACTTTTGTTTGCTGCTTTTAGATGCAGAGAAGCTGAAAGAACCAATGCTCAGCAACACTCGTTAGTTTCGAGTTTTTAGAGCTCTTAAATTCGATAACTACATGAGTTACAAGAATCTGATGACGCCGGAGAATGTCCCAAAGAACTTGTTGGATGACATCCCTGCTCTCTCTTCTCCTTCCTTGCATGCTCAAGGTAATGTTGCTGTTGGTTGTGGTTGTTTATTATTTTGTTTTAATTCATTTTCACTTCTCAAACTTACTGAAGATGGTTTAACAAACAGTCCCTTTGCCGTTCAACCATGCTATTTTTCCTGAATCCTTGAGGTTTCCAAAAGCTAAAAGAAGAAGAATTTCTAACATTTTGGCCAATCCATCAACTGAGAAGCATGGCTCCATCGCCAGAATCGAGTTCAAGTCAAGCACTCTCCAGACTGCTCATGATCAGTCCAATCCTCCACCTTTTGACCAGCTCCAAGGACTTACTGTACCTGTCGACGTTGTCGTCCTAGATTCATCTTCCAGTGAAAGTTCTGTGCAGATTGTTGACGAAGCTGAGAAAGGTCCCTCTTCTCTTTACAAAGATGACTTGATTTTTAAGCAAGCTAAACGGCTTCTTTTCACAGACGAGAGGAAGCGGATGGAGGAGCTGGGATTCAGTAAGACATTGCAGAAAGGCATTTCCTACTCTGCCAAGGCAATTTTTCACTCATTAGTATTTGGAGAGAGAACAAAAAAGTGACTTTTCTTTACTCTGCGGTCAAATTTAAATTTTAACTCTTCTTTCTTGTTTAGGCGCTAGAGATGATGCTTACTTCTTTTGCTCAATCCGAATCGGAGTTCAAGAGCTCGCCGGTTTCCAAGCAAGAGGAGCCTACTTTGCAGAAAGCACAAATTGCTGACTTGGACTAGTTGGAGACGAACGATATGCTTTCTAAAGAGATGGACACTAATCAACTTGCTGAGGCAGAGAAGTCACTCAAGGCACAAGAAGATGAAATCTGTGCTAAGTTTTGCGGAGCTTAATGCTAAGGATCTGAAGCTTCATGCTAAGGATGCCGAGCTTCATGCCAAGGATGCCGAGCTTCATGCCAAGGATGCCGAGCTTCAAGCTGGGAATGCAGAACTTAGCAGAAAGGACAAGCAGATCCAGACTCTGAAGGAGGATGCGGCGAATGCCGTAAAAAAGATCAAAGAGTCAAACGAGTATGAGAATTTGATGGAACAATGGTTCCAAGTGGGATACAATGCCTCCCATTCTCAAGGTTCATCACTTCATGCATACGAATATTGGCCTCCCTTGGGCCCATCTCTGGCTGTGAACCGAAACAAACATTTGAAACTCAGGTAATTCGTTTTGAGTCAAGTTGTATCACGAGTGCCTAAAAAGAGGGGACAGACTATTTTGAAAAGGTTTTATCTTATACAATTGCCTCATGGCAGATTTTGATCTCTTCTTTGAAATGGAAATGCATTGGTATTTTGTTTTAATATCTTTTTACAACTTTATGAGCTGTTGGGCATGGCCAGTACCTCCTTTTCTTTTAATATCTCTCTCCTGTTTCTACTAGTTTCTTCTTTAGCTTCGTTCATGTTTGGGTTTTTTGTACGGATACCCCTTAACTTTGCGAGTTTAGCAAATTGGTCCCTCAACTTTCAATCTTGGCAATTTACCCCTCGAACTATGAAATTTGTTGCAATGTTAGTACAACTTTTTGTACCAACTTTGCATTGTCATTTTGCGTTGTCCAAGGACTAAAAAAGTGCTAAAATGAGACATGTTGAGAAGATAGAAGTACTGAAACCCTTTTGATTATCATAACTTTGCCAGGTCTTACCCTAATTCCTTTTGATACGTTCATGTGATCCTTGTCAGATTTGTTGGTGTCGAAAATTACACCTTAGATTGTATACGATCTGTGAGGACTATATCTTGGATCATGTACAGTCAATCTATGAGATAACCTGCAATTCAAATTTCAAACAAGAACAAGCAAAAAACGGAACAATGAAAGAATATCATCAAATAACGAACAAACTAATAAGATGAGAATCAAGGGATTTACTTGGTTCGGATCCAATTGATTCTACATCAAACTAGTCTTTCTATAAGATGAGAATCAAGGGATTTACTTGGTTCGGATCCAATTGATTCTACTTGCTGATGCAGAGAAGCCACTTAATGTTCGAGAGAGCTAGAGACTATCAAGAATCAACTTGCTGATGCAGAGAAGCCACTTAATGTTCGAGAAGGAGAAATCCATGCCGAGGACAAGGAGCTTCGTACTGAAGAAGAGAAGATCGAGGCTGTGGAGGAGGCTGCTGCGGATGCCATCAACATTTCACAAAGTCAGACAAACATGAGTGCTTGATGGCAGAATGTTTCTTGAGCGGATATGAAGCTTTCCGGCTTTAGGCTTCGTCACTTAGTACTTGTGGAAATGTACAGCTAGCTTGATCATAATCCCTGATTGCTAGAATATGTAAACGTGTGTGTGTTTTAGGAAAATTTTTATTGATTTGATTGTACAGCTAGAATATCCTTCGGAATCATGGGATTGATAGGCATTGATAGTATCCTTTTTTTGTCCTAGAGAATTCTTTATATTGATTGTATATTTGTATTGCCCTGTAATTTGTATTGACCAGTTAATGAAAAATAATCTTTTTTCCACTCATCTTTCACGATAGTACTGACACGGATTGGACTTTCTAGGAGCCTGGCTCTGGTGGTTACTTGAATCAAAGATTATCAGTTTTATTCATCAGTTTTTTGGACAAATCGTCTGGCATCACCACTCGAAAAGCCCGTACCAAGTCCGTGTTCATTGCCATACTCTGAGGCTAGTTGTAGATCTTTTTGAGCATCTTGTATCTCAGAACCAATAGATAGAATAAGGGTCTAGAGAGTAGACACTGTTAGAGCAGCTCATAACTTAAGAATAACTGACATTATAGTAGTTCCTAACTAATTTTGAAACGCTTGATGCAATTGTCACAAGATAGATTTTGATCTCAGTTTTTGCACATTTATTCTGTTAATTTTATTAATTAATAAGTAAAAAAGAAAAAAAAACACTGTTTTGTATTACTTTTGTTTTATTTATGTTCTTTTAACATAATTATTTTTGGCTGTAATTTTGTTTGAACTAAGCCTCAGGTTGTCTCGCCATATACTTCCTACGATAGATATGCATTTTGGTCAGTCCCACAAAAAAAAAAAAAAGTTCAATGTGCTTAATAAGGGAAAGACTTGGATATACTGCAAGAGAAAGAAGAAACGCATCACAATGGAAATAATCATAGTTACGAATCTTGAGATTATTATCAAAAACCAGGAGAAAAGACATAACAAAAGAATAAAACAGAGCAGTTGAAACAGGGGACATATATATACTCTCATATGAAAAAAAAAACACTCATACACTGATCCTCAAATAAAAAGTGATCGAATAATCCAAACAATAGAATGGTCACTGCGTGTGTTTCTCAACGGGGGGTTGCACGGCATATCCAGGTGCAACAAAACTGGAGATACTGTCTGTAAGATGCCTTGATGCCTTCTCGTAATTCACAAAACCCATGTACCAGAAATCCTGCCCATCAACGGTGACGATCTGTATATAGTTTTCTGATGGACTATCCCTCATCGCCACTGGATTTACAGTGGCAATATTTGGCAAAGGTACCACAACCTGCAGTTTCCATTTAACATGTATTAGTGTTATTAATCATATAACTAGAGATGAAGCATAATAAATTATTAATAGGTTCAATTGTTATAGTGGTAGTTAAGTTATATATTTACCTTGTAATAGCTCCAACTTTGTTGGCCAGAGGGTGCAGTAAAGGATAAGGGGCGATCGCTGCAGAAAGCCACATGAAAATTAGACAAGTAAAGAGTTCCAGGCACAGGCCCAGTTGATGTGGAAAGATAACAAGCAAATGTCTTCTTGAGCTTCTCATTCGGATAAGTTGAGAATGTCTGCTTGTAAAGAGACTCGTATCCGCCTCCGGTCATGGCCTTCGCTGCCACGTTCATCTTCCCCCATGCAGCTCCGGACACAGATGGTCCAGTTCTAACTGAACAAACACAAACAAAAACCAGAATCATTAAACAAATTAAGGTTCTTGGCGCTAGTAGTACTCTCTTTAAACTTTTTGTATATAATAAAAGGTAGTTTTGTTAGTGTGGATGATCTTACGGTTGTGCCAGATGTTGTTGGCCATAGACTCGGCCTTGTTACTCCATGAGTTGAAGACATGAAGAATGGATTGGCCATTGCTAGCCTTCTCAATGGGGCTGTATTGGAGGTATGGATAGTGGAATTGGTGGGCTTCATCACTAGGGGCACCCCATAAGGCCGCTTTCTTGTTGCCCGGGTGACACGTGGGCACCGCAGGGTGCCCCATGACGTGAGTTCCCCATTTCTCTGCGTCTGCTGGCGGATCAGAAGAGCATGAGGGACCCGCTGAAACATCTTGATGATCATGATGGTCAGCTTGTTTCTCTTGATGATGATGATCCGGTTGTGAAGTGTTTGGTTGGTGGTGAGAAGGGTTTGTTTCTTTTGTTGGTGTGGTGGAAGGGTATTGTGGGGGTTGCTGTGATTCTGAGGTTGTTTGGAGAAAAGGGTTTGTTTCTTTTGGTGTGGTCATGGATTGTTGTTCTTGGTGTTGGTTGGTTTCGTTCTGTGATATTTGGTGAAAAGGGTTGATTTCCTCAGCCGTGGGATAAGAAATAGGAGTCTTGTTGTTGTTCATCTCGTTCTCTGTGGGAAAGAGATGGAAATTGGTGTGGCTTTAGAGATTTTGGATTTGTGACGTTGTGTTGGGATGTGTTTGCAATGGCATTATAAGTAGATTGGGATCTTTATATAAATAGATATAATATATGAGTAATTAGCAGTAGGATTGGCTTGATCTTTTGATGACTTTCTAGACAGAGAGATCATGTGTTAAGATTTTTCTTGGAAGGAAAAATATAAGAAATATAATAATATATGAAAGCGAAAAGTTTGACTTGTGAATTCAAGTACGCGGAAAAATCCATTTGCTTAACCGTGTTTTCCATGAAAGTCCTATTTTCATTAATTAATTTGTTTGTCTATCCTTTTCATTATTATTATTTTTTTCTCATCTTAACATTTATCTTTCAGGCCATACAGCCCGACAGCCACTTGTTGATTGTACCAAAATAGTTTTGTTACTCCGTGAAGAATGGATTGGCCATTGCTGGACTTCTCAATGGGCCTGTATACAACTGGACTACTAGGTTATCTTTAAGTCAAATTCTCTTTGGTGTACCTGTGCATAGAAACTCATTGCTCCTTGTGATTTAGTTTAAGAAGCTCTTGTTACAAAGTCTGTTTCTTTTTATGCGTCCTATTTCTATATGCAGCTCTATTATGCTTCTCTATTTTGTTTCCTATATGTTGCCTTAATGACTTGGAGGTCTCAAAGGGGTGAGAATTTTCACATTGTAAAAATAATATTAGACAATAGAACTAGAAAATACAGTTTCATGTTTAAATGAAGTATGCGAATAAAGTACAATCAATTCATACCACTTGGTGGAACTTTGATCTTTGAATATCCTGCAATGCATGATGGATTTAGGTCAATCGGTTTCACGTTTGTTTGGTGCCCTTTTGGAAGGGCTTGCTGATTCGGCTATTAGTTGCCTCCATCCATATGAAATTTGTTTTAGGCACATTCTTTTTGCCTCCATCCATTTTGTTGGAGGAATTATCATTCCTCATATAATGGTTGTTTAATTATGTTTGTCGCAGTACCTTTCTTCGTCATTGGATCATCATATTCCATTGTTGAAGCTTAAGAAAGCCCTTTATGTCTAGAGTAACCACACTGATAATAGAATTTCTCAATTATGCTCGCCTCACGTATCTCTCTAACAACATACATTATAATTTTATTAGTTTATTTCTCATTCTGGCACCTCTCTAACAACTATGAAAAAAATAATGATGAGGGCATATTTGACATTTTATCTCTCAAAAATTAACCTCAAAGTACTAAAAAAAAATGTTGAGATATCATTTTAATATTATTAAAAACAAATAGTACTTATAGTATATTTCGATATAACACAGGATTTTAAAAGGATTTGATCCTATTTATTTACCATTTCAATACACTTGAAATAATTTTAACTATTTTATTCCATGAGAGATTCTTGGATGAAGTAGCAATAATTTTGGAAAATAGAACTTGAGAATAATATGAGAGGTGAAAACTGTGCAGAATGTCAGAAATAGAAAAGGCCAAAAGAGCAATACATGTCATTGCTTTATGTCTCATATTTATCTTGTTGGAGAATATTTTTTCGAGGGAGATATATTTTCTTGAACAAGCAACGACAATGCATAACGAGATTGAAAAACCTGACATTATGGTTCTGCTTTTACAACCACTTGTATACTAGTTTACAAAATTTTTGTTATGTATAATTTCTTTAGGCTTTATGTCTCATTAAATCCATCTTATGTGTCTATATTTTGTAGTAAGCTTTACTTCCATCTTCTTGGTGGAGCTGGAGACGACCAAAGACGCAAGGTGATGCATAGAATTTATTGCTTGTACGTGGGTATACTCTTTATGGTCACAATTCTGATTGTTGATACAGACACTGGTCGTAGCGGAAGTTATAAAAGAGACAAATTCCACATGGATTTTGAAGTGAAAATGAACGGATTAGAAGTGTATATAATGGGAATTCATTAGACTTTACAAGTTACAAGACATATTGAGCCAATCGGTATTAGGAATTATGTTGTTTTGATCTTTGAGATCGCTCTATACACCACAAAAAGCAGTGCAAACCACAAAGCATATGCTCCAAGCATTTGAATTGCAAAAAAAAATAGGTTGTTAGTGGAGGGAAACTTATATTATATTACCAAAGCTGTGATATAGGTTTCCTAATAAGGATCCATAAGAAATTGCAAAAGCATACATATTAGACCCTAAAAACAGTTTAGGTAATGTGATGCGGTTTTGTAATTTATTTTTCATATAGTGATTGTTCATTTCTGTGTATAGTATATCAGTAGGAGCTAGGTAACAAAATATCACACAATTGTGATTTGAATGTTAATTTTGTATAAATAAGTCAAATCAAAGAAGATTGTCATTTAATACCAGTGGAATGCAACAAGCGCCTCTTAACCATTGTTGTCCAATCTTTGTAAATATTCTAAGAGTAATTCAAAGATTCTTACTATAAGCACACCACAATCACAATATTAAGCACCAATCGATTAATGCACACAACATTATGGAAACTGTCCTGGGAAACAGAAGTGCTATGGGAAGATGAGGAAGGTCCAAAGACATTGATTGGGGACTCAAAGTTCTCCCATTGCCAACTAACAAACCAAACCGGCAAGCCCTTGCAAAAGAGCACTCATAACATACAAATGACATTTATTTTCAGTCACTCAGAATGGTTAATATCAGATGTGTATACAAATGACCTTTTGTTATTCTCTGCAAGAGAAATTTAAAATATACACATGGAAAGAATTTTTGAACAAGAAAAGTGACCAAGCATTCATAACAGAATCCCATATAAATAATAAAATATACCATAATACAATTTTGCTTATGCATATAATATAAATGAAAGGGGAAACAAAAAATGACCATCCAAAACCAAATACAGCAATGTAAAATTGAATAAAAAAGAGAAAAAGGCACCAATAGTTTATGTGGTATTGCATAACCAGGAACATACTAAAGATAAACAATATTTCATAACCAAACAAACTCTACTATTATCTATCGCCCCTAAAGTAAACTTAAAAGTTATAAAAATGCCATAATATGTAACCCATAACCAAACAGAACAATTCCATTGAATGAAAAGATTGAAAATCGTTAAAAGAAAAGAAAGTATTTAGCGTGAATATTTTAAGGACTCATTTAGTTCGCTGATTTGAGTTTTTAATTCGAGTTAAGATGTGATTTTATGTAAAAGTTTTTTACTATAGCAAAAAAATTAAATGTTATTATTTCTGAGAACTTTTTACTATAATAAAACTCAAATTGATAAAATGATCGGGGCCTAACTTTTGTATTTGTTTTGTAGTGTTGAGCATGAGCTTTCCTAGTTTTGCTGTTTCAGTCATGCTTACTGTTAATGAAATGAATATAAATTTTAAGCACGCCATAACAAACGCTTACATTCATATATGATTGGATTTTATTTTTATTCTATTTTTCCATTTTTTAAATGCAAAGTTAAGTCGTTTTCTTCCTCCAAAAGAAAAACGACGCCGTTTCACCTGGAAACATGTTACGTGTCGCAGCATCACTGGAAACAGACAGCCTAGAAATTAACGGAGAGAAATATCTGGTCCCACCGCCAAACGACATCATAAACATTAACAGCTCAGCGACAATTATCATCATCCTCTCCAATTCAATCACCATTCTTTAAAAAAAAAAAAAAAAATGAGCCACCAGCATGATCCCTACCCTCCACCAGGTAAATCAATCAAACTTCCAACTTCAAACTTCTGAAATGATTGTCTTTTCAACTCCAATTTCTTTACCTTTCAAGTTCGATCTTTCTATCATCAGTTTGTTGTTTTTTTTATCTGTATTTGATTCAATTTTACAAGGTTACGGTTCTCCATATCACCATCAGCATCATCCGCCGCCGGGATACCCATCACCGCCGCCGCCTCCGGGATACCCATCACCGCCGCCGCCTCCGCCGCCGGGATACGGATAACCTTCGCCGTACGAAGGAGGGTACCAGGGGTATTTCGGCGGAGGAGGCTACCCTCCGCCGCCTCCGCAACCTTACAATCAGCACTATCAACAAGATCACCACCATTACCATGATGACAACGACGGTTGCCTTTCCTTTCTTCGAGGCTGGTATGTATTATGCACCTCTACTCATCTCTGCTTTTGATTTGGGTACTTAAACTTTCATTTCCTTTAGCAAGAGGGAGGGAAATAAAATATGAGGGAAGAAAGGTTTACTTGGGCATTGGAAAATCGAGAATGTTTGCTCTGCTAATCCTTTTAAATTGGAGTTTGTTTGTTTGTTTGTATGTTTCATTTGACTTTATTTTCTTTTGTTAGTGGTAAAATTAATTCGTTCTTTACTGATGGAATATGATGAAATTGATCTTTCTTTGCTCTTTTTTTTTTTTTGTGTACATTTTTTTGGCTGCTGAAATGGCAATTAATTGTTTGTGTTTATGTTTCCTGCTTAAATGATTTGTTGTTCTAAGCTAAGCTTGGAATCGTCTCTCTGGACCCAGTTTTATGTGTAGCTTTCTTTAATCAATCAATGTAAAATTAGAACTGATTCGGAGATTAGTTAGTGGTTAGTTTGGAGATGAGTTGTCTGAATAAAATCTCTTATTTAAAGAATGTTCTGTTCTAATCTTTTAGCTTCCTAATCTATTTCTAAAATAGGTGTATTGTATGGTTCATTCAGTTGTCTGCAAAAGCACAAATTCACTCTCAAAATCCTCGCAATTCTCTACAACTTTCTTTCAATTTCTCTTGCTGTTTTCCACTTCCTTCGTGCTTCTTCTCTTAAGTGCATCAAAAGATAAGAGGATGCAATCAGATACGAGGGAAGAACGATGACAAAAAGCAATTAGCTAAACTTTCGATGTTGTCTTGTTCCCCTAAAGTTTTTAAGGTCTTTTTTTTGAAGAAGAACACAAGAGTTGCTAAAATTGATGTCTCACTTAGGCTTTTTTATGATCTTGACTCTACGAACAATGATCTATAACCACCCTCAAAGATGGTCCAGCTTTTTACTTGCTTCGCAACAAGCAACAAATGGGGGAATAGGGAATGGGGAGCTTCATGAAGGAGTATTTCCACTGCGGGACAGAGAGTAGTTCCTGTTTCTTGAGGAAAAACTTTTCGTCATTGGTAAATAGAGTTACCGCATCCAGTTACTGCTAGCTCTGTCCATTCTTCTACTAGATATCTCAACTCTTGAAGTCAAGTTCTAGTTAGTACAAGATGATTCTCCTGTTGAGTTGTGGGATCAATCCAGTGGGCTATATAAACATGCACAGCTGAGCTTTATGGGGGAACTTACTATGGGCTTCGCAGTCGCTTTTTTATCCCAGCTAGCCTTTGTAGGCTTGGCTGCTTCTTTCATCTTGTATGCACTCTCCTATGGTTGCTTCCCTAAACACTAAACGGGTCTTTCATAGATGATGGTAAAGTTTCACTCCTCCTATGGAGGGGATTTTCCTCTCTTTGAATTTAACTTTTTGTTTCAAGTTTGCCATGATCGAAATCTTTCTTCTCACAGATAAGGTTAATGAAAAGGATTGAACTCTGCAGTGTGCGCATCAATCCCTTGATCTCCTTCTAACCTGGCTAGGCTAGTTTCAGTGTTTGGTTCTTTACTTGATTAGAGTGTTTGGTTCTTTACTTGATGAGACGAGATGTTTCCCTCTAGGTGTTAGTATTATGTGTACTCTGCTGTGCTTTTGCTATTTTACCTTTTTTTCTCATACTTTTTGAGTTGTTGAAGCTTTAATCCTCTCTAAATATCTTTTGCTTATGATATTACAAGTGTTCTCGAACTCTTGAATTGTTGAAGCCTAATCCTCTCTAAATATTTTTTTGCTTCTTTCTTCATTTTTGTTAATGCCCACAATAAAATCTGCAGCTTCGCCGCCCTTTGCTGCTGTTGCCTGTTGGAGGAATGCTGCTTCTTTCTCCGATGATTTATTGAGTGTTTGTTAGGAACCATTCTATTGCTCTTGCTCCGCTGCGGGAGAAGAGCATTCTATGCCTTGTTATATACTACACTATGTATTTGACCTTGAATGACATGGTTTATTTGGGGCTCTCTTCTAGGTTGATATTGTGTAGTTACCTGAAAAGGGTTAATTTTAAGGGGTGCATAATTGACATTTCTGGTGTGGTTGTGTTGTTTTGTAATCATTTTTAAAAAGTCAAATACCAAAGTCCCAAGTAATGTGCGACTTAAAAACACACCATGAAAAAACTCAACTTTGTTCTTGTGATTTTGTTGTCAGATTTTTTATTTTTTCAAAAAACTTTATTGTCATTTTATAGCTAAAAGACTGAACATGTTACTTTTCCACGGCTGCTTATCATTTACCAATCTATTTACAAGAACATGGATTACAATAGTCAATCACTCCTATAGTGGGGATAAAAAATAAAAATAAAAATAAAAAAGTAAACCCAGAGGACTGTTGGATAGACAACTATAACTTGCAATTATTTAAAAGGTAGCCCAAAGAGCGACTAAAGAGTCCATATAGAACTCTTGCGCCTCATTCCTTAACCCTGCCTCCCATGGTTAGATGAAGATATATCTTCTCTACCTTCTGCTAATCTTTGTTCATCAGCTAAGCGCATGTTTAGCTTCCGAACTTTAGTTGAATCTTCTCTAATTTCGATTATGTGCTCTATTAACTTCCAACTGGCAAGAATCATTCTTGCTAGTCCATTGATGGTATCGGGAATAATTGTGTCGTTTAGTCACATGTTTTTTGCAGTTAATTACCCCATAACTATGAAGTTATAGATAGAGTTTGTACCTGTGTGCTCTTGGTGATTATTATAAATCGTAATTACAATACAATAATAATGGATTAAAAGACGGTTATGAGACAAACGTAAATAAAATAAATAAAAGGAATATTTATATTTTTATACCCGGTGTTTGGAGTTTATTTATAAATTTTATCTTTAGTTTTTTATCTCATTAAATGTATACCTTCAAATTAAATTTAATATCTAAATTTATACATTTTCATAGTCAACCTTCAATTTTAAGTATAAAATACCTAAAGTACCCTTAAATAAAAATGAAAAAAACTAAAGAAAACTTGAAACTTACGGTTTTAACCTAAAAATATTCAAACTATCATTGAAATGAGTTTTTTTGTGCTTTTAATTTTTTTTTTTAATTTAGAAAATTTTGGTTTTATTTTCTCTTTTTTTCTTAAGGATAGTTTGGTCATTTTAAAGGTCAAAATTAATTATTGACCGAGATAAGGGATAAGTTTGTATTTTAAATCTAATTTGAAAGTATACATTAAGGTATAGATTTTGAATAAATTTAAAATATGGGGTACACAAATTTAAATATCCCTAAAAAAATTGAGTTGTGACATAACACGATACATCTTATAAAAAAAATAAAACGAGCGGTCGCATACAACAACACTTCTGGTAGGTTTGATAGTCTGACAACACTCTCTATAAGTTAGCGATAATATGTGTGGTTTGCTATAACACTACCCGCGAATCAAGTTAGTAGCTAAATGTAAATAACAAAAAAGTTTGGTACTGAAAATAGCCTCAATATAAAGTGCAAGAAATTAAATAGACAATTAAATAATAAAATGAAAATACCAAGAGTAGACAATTAAATAATAAGTAGGATAAACACACTAAAGAAGTTTTATATATATATATATATACGTATGAGAATTGAGAAAGAACAATAGTATGGGCATGATATAGAAACAAAAATGTAGTTGAAAAAGGTAATTTTTGTAAGAGTTTCTGAAAGATTTATATTTGTAGCGACCCTCCTTTGAGGCCGCCACTGTAACTAACTTTTTAACTTGTACTTACTGAAATTTCTTAAAATTTACGGAACATTTTTTTTTTTAAGGGTCTTATTATAAACATAAATTACGAAATTGCTTTCTTAATTAAAATATTCAAACCTTAACATATCTGTTTCATAATCATAATTAACAAAACTATTTGTAACATAAAGCTGATTGCGGAAATATTTGCGAGTGGTATCCATATCCCGAGCTCCACATCGTTCGTCCACTCGCCAGCAGTCCATCAGGCATTATATGCCGGTTGCTTACCTACAGTATAAACATTCTATAATGAGCTTTCGCTCAGCAAGTAGGAACTATCTCCCGCAAAACAACTGTAAGTTCACATGAATAAATATGCATGAGCCAATTATGCTTAATTATGATGTCTTATCAGAATCTTATTATCTTATCTTATCTTTCTTACTGATGGGCCAGAGTGCTCGTACCACTTGCGCGCAATCATCGGGACGT